TCAAATTTAAAATTTGTCTGTAGCATCATTGTTTAAGACACATTTCAGTAGGTGAAGTCATTTCTCAATTGTTACATGCACAGGAACTACAGTTTATTCAAGAAAAACACCATGGTTTGTTTTTTTTTGAGAAGACACAAATTAGGATCTTTTGGAACTTATTCTCTTCAACTACTGGGCAAAACAATGTTTCATGTTTCTTTCACTCCTTTCAAGTACTCTCAAATATACTAATTCTGAAGAAAACTGAGAGTACCTGGAGAGTATAAAAACAGAATGAAAAAACCTGAAGTACAAATTTTACTTGTTACAATACTACCAGATGACTTTGGTAGTTATTTTCAGAAGAGAGCTGTCTGGCTGCAGCTGCCTGTTGTTTTTTTTTTTTCTCCTGTACCAGGAATACAGAGTATTCATTATTGTTATACATTCAGATTATTTTTTAAAGTTCTTAACTAACAGAAAGACTTTAAAAAGAAATTTAATGCATTTCTAGTTCCTTAAAATAAAAATATATCAAGTTGTTAAATAAAATTTACTACAGATTTATCTTGGGGGAAAAAGAACTTCACAAAAACAGAACAATTTCCAATCAATTGTGTGTTATGTTATGCATCCAATGTAATAAAACAGCAAAAGAAATCATGGCTCAATGTCTATATCATCTACAAAATGACGACTATATTAACAAAGCAGAGAGTTCTGAGAACTTCAGACATCTGCTTTACTTCCCACACCTAGTTACTTCCAGTAAGTACACAGAAAAAAGCACCTATTTGTTTAAATTTATTTACTCTCTACTTTATTATCAATCCTTTCTTTCCTCCCAGATTGTTAACACAGAAAACATACACAAACCTTGAATTAGAATATCTAAATATGCCAGCATGGCTAGAAATTTGCACAACAAAATATGAAACTTCCAATTCCATTTAGGTTTCTCACAAAATACAGTAAACATTTGTCTCATATTATGGTAGTTATCCTATGTTTTTCTAATACAACACTTTCTCCTCATCGACTTCAACTAATATATTTGGGGTTCCTCTGTGAAAAAGGCAATAGCGACAATCACAACCACAGTTTACAAAGCAAAAATATTCACTAACAAAGAACTTAGGTATCAAACTTACAGAGAAACTGGATTTGCATTTATTATAAAGCCCTACTTTGAATATGGTTGTCATTTCCCTTTAGATCTTTTTCTTCCTTCATTAGTGCTTTTCCTGGAATCTCAGCTAAGGAACATCAGGGTTGGGGTTGGGAGGTGTTTTGTTTTAAATCATACTGTATTTGACCATAAATTTTTTTTTAAATCATGATTTTTTTAAAATCATACTTCTTCAATCATCAAAATAACAAATGCCCAAATGGCAAAGACCGAGTTCCAGAGTTCTCATGAGATGGTAACATCTGCGTGCTGTCATTAAATTCTTTTGAATTTGACCAGGCATTCAGCAGCAGCATTCCTTTTGGAGGATGGTAACTACCAGCACCAGAACTTGCCACCTATCAGAAACATTGCTGGCTATGTTGCAAAACCTGTACTGGTGATCTGAAATTATATTTTAAGAATTCTCTTCAGTATAAAAACATTCCCATTTAATTATTGTACAGTTCAGTGAATAGAGCAACCATAAGAGTACCAAATTTATTGTTATTGAAAACAGAGCTTTTTGTGTAACCACAAAAAATACAGTTTGGGGCAAATATAGTACAGGCAACCACCCAGTCCTTACTAGCAAGTCTGATCTCTGCTGTGGAAGAAGTTCAGGCTGTGGTTTCATAGCATGGCAATTCCAGTTTTAGTGCATCTCAGTGCTAGCTGAAAAACACTGAAGTAATATAATGCAAATCCTTTAATAGATACCCCCCCCTCAAAAAAAAAAAAATCTGTTGATACAAGTGCATTTACAAATCTTGAAAGGACAAGTTTTAACGGCAGACTCTGTGCTAGATATTCTAACATTTGTCTTCCTCTAGCTAACTCAGCACTGCCTCGTGGGCCCTGGCTAACTCAACATAAATGCTACCGTGTTCTCCCTCTCCATCCAGATCACAGACTTGACAGGTAATTTAGCACCGCATAAAACCAATTCTACTGAACACACAACCATGGCCTCAGGCTCCACAGAGCATTAAGCACCTGTCTTCCCTTCCCAAACGAAAGCTTCAGGACCTAACTATGTGGGTATCAGCACAATCAAAAAAATATTAAAAAAAAACAAAAAGAGGAACAAGCAGACAAACCATCACCATTTTCTATTACTTGCTGGCCTTGATAAATGGCCTTGAGTTAAAAGTTACGTATCTCGTATTCAAACAGAATATTATACTAATGCTGCATATTTAACTGTATACAGGTGATCGATCTCCAAAATAGAAAAGTTTTTAATATCAAGAAAAAGAATGGAATAAAAAAGAATAATTAAAAAATCATTTGAGGTTTACAGGTAGAACTGCTAAATTTATCAAAATCACGATAGATAGATAGCATGACATCAGACTGAAGGGCATCTCTAGGGTTGTTATATTCCTACAAGCACATTCAGCAAACATACATGAGTAAAACAGTTATCAAAAGTAAAGCATTTTATTAATTATAATTAGCTAGCTCTAAAAGAGCAAAACAGCCTAAAAAGCTTTAATAAAAAAATACCTGGGTACAGTGTACCTAAACTTCAATCAACAGCTAGAGTAAACAGCTTATTTCTGTAAAAGATTACTAAAACACACATAGTCATAACTAAATCTGAGGTCAAATCCAGTCCCTTAAGGAAACTGAAATACATAAGACTAATCTGAGCCCAATGGCTAAATTCACCTACTCACAAAATCTTCACCAGCTTGTATGCTGCACCATCAAATGACAAAGACCCTCTAAGAACCAGGATGCTTTTCCTACCCACGCAAAGGTGCTGGATACAGTTGGCACCGTCTTCCTGAATGCAAGCTATTAATAAAAAAAAGTAGCTTTGGGCAGGAATTCAACAGACATGAAGCCTGCAAACTTCCTAACGAATCAAGATGATGCTAATGGGTTCTAGTCCAATAACAGCAGGGATACAGTAGAGTATTCCACATCTCCTTTATGTCAGGCTAAGCCAGAAGGAAAGATTGAAAAAAAACAAAAACTCACCCCACACACACACAGCTTCACTGGTTTGGCTTCTCACTAAATACCTTTATTACCGCTATTTTTCAAAAGAAAGTTACAGTTCAAGTTCTTCTATGCTCCCGTCTAAACTGCAAGGCTGATCCTAGGCCCACAAATGTCCTACACTCTCAGTGACATCGCCTTTTAAATTTCTATCTGGACAAAATAAACATCCATTATATTCAAAGTTCAACCTCTATGTATTGGGGGGGGTTCCTAACCTTAGTGAAATGCCAGCCAGAAGCATAAGGTGTAAAAGTTTACAGCCATATGTATTGTTGATAATGTAATACCAAGTTATCCCATATATCTATATAAAAACAAATATGCGATACTACATCCTATTTATCCACTGTGAAGCAGAACAAATACCAGTCTCAGCAAGAATAACTGTTCCAGTCTAAACAAACCCCTTAGTTCTTCCGTCTTCAAAGAGGATTTCCTAGACTAAAAAAAACTCAGTAAGTGTTGACAAAGAAAAAGGTGAATAACAAGGCTCCGATAGGAACTGGTGTTCTTTAGAGTTTGCTCTGCTGTCGTTCCAAGTAAAAACTCGCTGTTCTCCTCTACAGTAGCTTCTTTGTTGCACAGCAAAAATAAAAACACTACAGTGGTATTACACTTCAAGGTTTTCATGCAAGTCTATTATTTCTACTAAGCGGTATAGTTTCTTCCCCAAAGTAACATTCTTCTTCGTGAATATATTTAACAACCCATAAAGACTATTTCCTTGCTACGACTTCCAGCACGGCAACTGTGGCTTCCAAAAGCCAGGCCAACGCACCCCAAAGGCGGGCGCCCCGGGCTCAGCACCCACCGCTTCCCCCTCGCAGGTGTTATTATCGCACCTGCAACAGAAAGCGGCACCGTGCCAGGGCACTTAAAGAACAGTAACACAACTTATGACACAGAACACCTTGCATCAGCCACAGAGACACAGGCAGATGATGAAAGAGAAGGAAATTGGCAAACGCCAGCGGCCAGGGCCGGGGCCAGGGCCGGCACGGCGGGGAACGCCGCCCGC